TTGATTATATTACACTTTGAAGGTACCATATTTATTACTAGATTTAGCATAATTTAGCCAATAAATACCTATATAAATTAAAAATTCAAAATTAAACACCTTTTTCTTTCCATATGGGACATGAGAGATACATAAATAATGTTAAAAGAAAAAAAGAAAGAAAGAAAAAAGTTGACCCTTCTGGGGATTGAACCCATGGCCCTCATTTTCAATGTTACAGTAGTTAACAGTAATTCTAGCCTATTTGAATACTCTTCAAAGCGGAGGTAATGCATTAGGGTGCTAATACCTTAAGTCAAATTTTACAAAAAGAAATGAATGCATATATTTTAATGATTACATATAATATGCATAAATATTTGCAGTACATATTTTACATATTCTTCGATGTTTAAAAATTGTTTTAATTTTTAATAATAAAGTACATACAATTAATTTCACTTAGTGTGGTTTACCACATTGATCACAACGTACAGGATATTTTATGTACTCGAGCAACAACAAATCAATGTCAAGCACAGGACTAAACAATGCATCTTTCAGTGAACTTAAACAATGATTTTTATGGTAGACAGGGATTCTAAGAACCAAATTATTAATGCATTGTTACATATGTTTCATGGAAACCCCATCGGCATTTGAGCCGCGTCACGACAAAACCAACGTAATGCGTTTGCGACCAGCATGGATCCAGACCTGGATCCATGCTGTTCGCTATCAGTTTCTCATTTATGTAATAGGGTTTGTAAGCGAACAGCATGGATCCTGATCAGATTGCGCGGATGTGCAGGCTGGTCTGGATCCATGCTGCTCGCAAACGCATTATGTTGGTTTTGTCGTGATGCGGCTCATTTAGAGAACACTGTCACGGTCATATCAATCAAGGTCATCTATTAGCAGCCCCTTGTATATTTTCTTCCCGACCATTGTATTTTTCAATAATGTAATTTTGTCTGTGGCATTTTTCAAAATTCAGTTTCACAATCATCAAAGCAATGTCAATACAGATTTGTTCTATTTGTGGTTCTAATAGTTTCCTTAATTTCGTCGTTAGTATTTCTAGTACCGTTTCACCTTCATCAACAATGTCAAACAGCACTTACAAGAAGTTCTTTCTATAGTTCTTTAAGTGTTTCAAGTATCACTTATCACTTGCTGTGTTTCGTACTAATTGCCCCACACCACTTTAGTTTCAAATCCTGACAGGGATTTAGTTTCCTGTCATGTGAGGAAGTGATTCAGCTAGCTAACGGAACATTGGTGGCTCTCCTCTGGGCCCTGTTCCTGTCTGAGGTCACAGCTTTTATTACGGCCGTCCTGAAATAAAGCACGGAAACTTCGGAAAGGCGCCTGAGGTCTTTCCCAACCAGTAAAGCTGGAAAGTCGCCAAATGACCTCTACTGTGTTGGTGTGATATAAAACCCCACCAGAACCAAACACGTGCTCTGTTAAGGGCTCTTTAAACGGGTTTGGTCGGTTTTTTAGCTAAAATCCGGCTAGAAAATTCAATAACCGGTAACCGAGGAGGAGTGAAAAAGTTATCTATTACTTTAGTTTTTTTATAACAAGATATATCAATTGTTTGTATTGTAGTTGTACTCAACGATGTATTTTTTTCAGATCTGATCGAATATGTTACGACCCTAGCGGAAGATAGTTAATATTTGAATATTGAAATCACTTAGGGAACAACAAAATACGAACAAAATGGCATATTTTGTCATAAAGAAACAAAGTAAGTGTTGGAAACCTACGGATTTGTTTAGAACTGTCGTTAAAACGTTTAACACAGTTATTAGGTCGCCGTTTAAATGGTTACCATTTTTTCTCACCATGTCTAAGGTTGCTATTGACATTTATTTCACCTAAAATGTGTTTAACCTTGTTATTTATGCAATTAAATATCCATTATATTAAAAAAATAAAAAAATAAAAATATTTTTTTACTGTTATATTGTTACAGACGAGTACGAAAATTATGGATATGTCCGTTCTCGGTGTTTTGTTATTTACTAAAATAACAAGGTTAAACATATTTTAGGTCAAATCAATGCTACTAGCACCTTTGACCATGTCACCACTAGCTCTGTTTACAAAGGTCAAATAACGTACAGGTTTCACAGCTTCTGTCCACCCAGGTCAAATAACGTATCTCATGCTTTCAGGTATGTGACAAAAGAAAATAAAGTACCTGTATTTATTTCCCTTTTATTTGATTACTAGTTAAAACAAAAATGTCCTTAGATGTCTACTTGACATCTTTTATTTTGTATCAAGCACTATAAGTAAATCATTATCTAGGAGTTGTTCCGTATTTTTTCTCACCAAACTTTTGCCATTTTGTTATATATATTCATTTCACGATATGAATAGCAAATGGGACCTTTTGGTCCCAAACCAAGTTGGTCCCATCGCAAAAATCAACCCCAAAACATACCAGCTCTTTTCTGAAACACTTCTTTCACCTTTTAATTATATTACGTGTTGTTTTTTAATAGCATGTTTTCTTCGTTTATGAAAACACCTGCATGTTTGATATTTTGAGACAAGAGGCTGCATTCTGAATATAAATGTAAAGCCTTTTGGTGTATAGCCACATATAAAACACATATAACACATGTGAGCATATGGAATCACCACATGCAAGCAAATGGAATCACCACATGCAAGCATATGGAATTACCACATATGAGCATATGGAATTACCACATGCAAGCATATGGAATTAACACATGCAAGCATATGGAATTACCACATGCAAGCATATGGAATCACCACATGCGAGCATATGGAATTACTACATGTGAGCATATGGAATTACAACATGTGAGCATATGGAATTACATCATGTGAGCATAATGGATAACCACATGCGAGCATATAGAATCACCACATGCAAGCATATGGAATTACCACATATGAGCATATGGAATTACCACATATGAGCATATGGAATTACCACATGCAAGAATTACCACATGCGAGCATATGGAATCACCACATGCGAGCATATGGAATCACCACATGCGAGCATATGGAATCACCACATGCGAGCATATGGAATTACCACATGCGAGCATATGGAATTACACATGCGAGCATATGGAATTAACACATGCAAGCATATGGAATTACCACATGCGAGCATATGGAATTACCACATGCGAGCATATGGAATCACCACATGCAAGCATATGGAATTACCACATATGAGCATATGGAATTACCACATGCAAGCATATGGAATCACCACATGCGAGCATATGGAATCACCACATGCGAGCATATGGAATCACCACATGCGAGCATATGGAATTACCACATGTGAGCATATGGAATCACCACCACATGCGAGCATATGGAAATCACCACATGCGAGCATATGGAATCACCACATGCGAGCATATGGAATCACCACATGCGAGCATATGGAATCACCACATACGAGCATATGGAATTACCTCATGTGAGCATATGGAATCACCACATGGGAGCATATGGAATCACCACATGCGAGCATATGGAATCACCACATGCGAGCATATGGAATCACCACATGCGAGCATATGGAATCACCACATGCGAGCATATGGAATTACCACATGGAAATATACATTAAGAAGTGAATTATTGATAATAATTACACATTAAGTGCATTTAGAAACCAAAAAAAATCATTATAATTATATTCTGGTAAATCCAGATACTGTATCCAAATAAACATTTCATCTTAAAAGGTTTACTTATCCCGTTTTTAAGGAAATGACACGGCCAGTAATCCTTAGATTTCCAGTCTGACATTATAACCACTTGGCCATGCCGCCACTCAGGGCGTAACTATGAATTTACTGTAAGGGCGTCCAAAAAATATTGTTCATAGTCAAAGTTTACTGTATGTGATGAACCTTAATAAACAAAATTGATCATCACCTTAGTGCAATAACGTAAAAAGTCCTTCTAAATTTATTAGTAGTTAATCAGTTATTGCACAAAGGTGACAATATGCTAAAGTATGCTTTAAATATATTCACATTAAATGTCTAATACATGTATCCAACTTTCTATGTGTTTAATTATAAAGAATTAAACTGATTTCAGTATCCAGTTTTTCTGTATTTTTTGACATATATCATTACCATGTCTAGTTCTCAGCATCGAGTCATTACCTTACAAAACATTGTTTGGTTTACTATACAAATATTATATAACAAAAAAATTAATTATTAAAAACATTTTTTATCACAGACATAACAACAAAAGTACTACAACACAAATGTCATGTTGACACATGTTACAGGATGAAGGGGTATGTTGTTAAGGGTGTGGGGAAAGGGGTTTCGGAGGGTAAGGAGGGGGTTGAAATTAAGCGAACCGTGTCATGACAAAACCAACATAATGGGTTTGCGACCAGCATGGATCCAGACCAGCCTGCGCATCCGCGCAGTCTGATCAGGATCCATGCTGTTCGATTTCAGTTTCTCTACTTGTTATAGGGTTTGCAAGCGAACAGAATGGATCCTGATCAGACTGCGCGGATGCGCAGACTTGACTGGATCAATGCTGTTCGCAAACACACTATGTTGGTTTTGTCATGGCGCGTCTCAAGTCATGCCAACTACATTTAATTTCTGCTGAAGCAACAACCTTTATAACTGTCTTAAATAGACACCTTAAAGATGGCATTGATGAAGGTATAAGTCTTACTGTAATGCTTTTCTGCCAAAAAATTTCTAACATCAGCCAATATCGTAATAAATTGGTAATTTCCGGAACGTTAATTTTCACAATCACTGGTATTCAATAATTTTAACCGATTATAACTGGAAGTCAGTTAATAGCAATAAAGGATAAGTGATTATAAATAATACCCAAGATTTTGAAAAAAAATAATCTGGAAATATCCGATTTGCTTCTTTATTGGATGATGTTATATTTTTTTTGGCGGGAAAGCATTACAGTAAGACTACTTTAAGTCAAAATAAAAAACTCAGCTTTTCTGATGAAGGAAAACAACATTTTACTATCGGTACAACGGTACATTTTCATGACTATGTTGTGAAAATCATTTAATAAATCTTTAGATTTTTAGAAAAAAATGAACAAGTGGCATCTTCCACACTCCTGTAAAACAATACTTTAAAATGAAATGAGCCGTGTCATGACAAAACCAACATAATGGGTTTGCATATGCGCAGTCTGATCAGGATCCATGCTGTTCGCTATCACTTCTCTACTTGTTATAGGGTTCATAAGCGAACAGCATGACTCCTGATCAGGCTGGTCTGGATCCATGCTGGTCGCAAACCCATTATGTTGGTTTTGTCGTGACACGGCTCAAATAACAATTGTACATCCTGTAATATTGTTGTAAGAGATGAGAAACTATCACTTTATCAATGGTCCATCTTTACATTTTACCTTTACCAGTTCTAGAAAATGTTTAACATGTTTTAATATTACACCGTGTTTTGCACATCGCAGACTGTCATGTTACGTTTGTTCTCGAGGAATGACACTTGGTAGTTCCAAATGACCTGCTTTAATTATACACTGAAACGTAAGTCACTTGAGTCTCCATGGTAGAACTTCATGTTGTAGAAATCATTTGTTAAGTTTGGCTCTACACACAGGGCAAGTCCCTGACTGAAAATAAATAAAAGAAAAATAACCAAAAGTTCTAACACAAGACTGAAGTATAACTATTTGTTTATCTTAAACAAGCATAAACTTACACATGCTATATTTTCTTAATAATGGTATTAGAATCTGTCTGGTTAGCTCAAGTAAAAGGTAAAGCTTTGGACTGTGAATTGGGTCACCTGGGTTTGATTTCCAGATGGTGCAAGTCTCTTTCATTGTGATTGATCAAGAAATCCTTCACTGTACTTCTGCTCTGGCATATACTTAAGTTTTCAGTTTCTTGCAAAAGTGAAGGCAATTAGTACTGGTATACTGCTTGAACAGCCTGCCTATGAAACGATGCAGTGGCTAAACTGCGCTCTGGTGAATTCAATGCGGCTAACTGCCATGATCCGTTGTGAAAACAACCAAGACAACCACCAAATGTATTAAATTTTAAGGGGCTAAATGTGCAAAAAAGAAAATCAGAGTTAAAGGACTTGTGCCAATAATGTTAGATAATCACAGAAAACAAACTTATGAAGTTTCAATCTATTCTCCTCAGTTGTGATTGAGAAACTAGCTTACACGTAAAAACTTAACCTCAGAGACGCCCACACAGACACTGACAAATGCATATTTGGAACTTTTTTCCATGATCAAGAGGGATATTTTTCTTCAAAAAGAGGGAGATTTTAGAATTTGCATTGAACAAAGAAGGAAGTTCTGACATTAAAAGGTTGGAGATTGATTCAATTTGTGAAAATACTCCTTATTTTAAGAAAAATCTTTGAAAATATGGCTGCAGAAAGAGGGAGTCTCCCGCTTAAAGTGGAAGAGTTCACATGTATGCAAATGGGTGACTGCATTAGCTCAAGTATTCTGCCAAAAGTCGAGCTTAAAAACTTTATTACATAGTACAGTTTTGTTTTTTCCAGTATCTTTTTTTCAACAATTCAAGCTTATGTTTTGGTAGTACCTCGAAGGTAAATCCACCTTATCGGCTTTTCAGTAACAACTAATATCTCCATATGGGACTGAATACTAATCCCATATAATTTCTATATCAGCCGTGAGAGAAAAAAGACACTAGTCTCTATAAAACAACGTGCTTTAAATTATGTTTATTAAAGATATAATTCATTTATAAATATCATTATCTAATATGTAATACATGATTATTTTTTGTTTGAATCATTTTACCTTACTGGAGTCTAATTAATTGTTATTTTTAAAAAGAAATATTTGAAATTTTTTGGACTGCTCTTTTATTATGGATTATAAATCTGTAAAGTACGAGTTTTTTCAAACAAAAAGTGCTGGGGGCGCTAAATAGAGGGGGGGGGGGGGGGGGAGGGCGTTAATTGGAAACAATACGGTATATGCGATCATTGGAAACTTCAAAACATCAAACCGCCATCTATATTCTCCAATAAACCATTCAGAGCAAAGAAAAAATATCCTTCAAATTAAATTATTATGAAAATGAATTAACAACAAATACCTTGATAAGCCAAGCCTGTATACATATAGGATGGAATATATGTTGGCATGGTAACAGTGTCATCAGTTCCTCTACTTCACATAGACAAAGACATATCGGACATGATGGATGTTGATCTGAAAAATGAATAAATCAAGTACATGAAATATTTAACATTGGCTTTTGATTTTTACATGTTTTAATGAAAAACACTGAAAAGGTTAACTAAGAATACATAGAAAACACATGCCCTTACAGTTACTCATTAATAGGTATTATGGGTTTACTATTATCTTAAAGATTTGGGTTGCTGATCATCTCAGTATAACAGGGACAGTTGGGGCTTACATAATCCCCACTTTTATCCCCCTTTTATGCCAGTCATGATAGCTAGAATCTTTGTGAGAGGTAGTCGCCTCAATTTCGCTTTTTACCTGTTTACCCATGGTCAATTATGTTTACCAAGAAGTGAGGAGGGGTTATGGAATCCTCAATTTATTTTTTTATTTTTATTTTTTTTTGGGGGGGGGGGGGGGGGTTATGTTGCGCTAACACTAACTAAAGGTCATATGGTAACTTCCAAACTTTATTGGTGAAGGAAGGCCTAAGGCTTCCCTCCAGGCATTACTTCAGACATAAACAGGCACCTGAGTAGAACCACTGATATTCTGTAAGCTAGCTGAATAGCTTCCTCATATGAAAGAATCTAAGAAGTCCCTGACAGGGCTCAAAGGCATAGCCGTGAGGAGCTAGAGATTTAAAGTAAACAACCTTAACCACAGACGCCTCACATAATTTGTAAGACAATGTTTTGGACAATAATCTTGCTCTATATGGGATTCAAACCCACCATAAGACACTACAGCCATTTTCATGCCATAAAATAAACTTAAACTTCATAGACTTCTGAGCCAAACATTCCTTTAAAGCAATTTGTCAGCCAAAAACTGCATATATAAGTATAGATTTATCTTGATAATATGTGCACTTCAGCCACTTATACATGCATATATCACTTACCAATATGAGATAAAGTAAGAGGAATTGTGGGTAGGTTTTCGATCACAATCTGTGGGGCCGGTGGTGCAGCCTGTTCACTCAATAACTCGGGTTGTACTGCCAACATCTGCTGTATCACGTCCTAATGATAAAATATGATAATGTAACAGTATATTGTGTAAGATGTTTACTTTTTGGCCTATGTAGAAATATTTTAACATATTTATAAAATGCAGCTTTAGATATCTTTCCATTTAAGTCACTTTGTGTCCCTGTTGATCTATGTAAAAATTCAAATTTTAGCTTTCCTCAGCATACATGTAGGTCCTTTAAGGAGCTTCTTATTGGAAAAATTTATTTCAACCCTCTATTACCTGGACAGCTTACAGGTCACGCCCCAACCAGCTTTAAAACTTTTAAGACAAGTTAAATTAAGTAAAAACAGGCCATAATTCAGTATAAATCTATGCCAGAGTTTCAAAATTTGGACCATAACCTAAAGCCATGATCCTGAAAAAATGTGAACGCTTTCCCTAGTTTTGAAGATTGATGTTGCATGCAAAACATTGACAGTTACTACACAAAGAACTATATAACTCTGTCATAATCCATGCAAGAGTTACATGTATAGGCTCTAAAAAGTGACAAACATTTCTATTTTAAGTAACAGTGACCTTAACCTTGAACCTAGATCGATCTGATTAAATTTCAGATCTACTTATTTTAAGTTATTTCTTGCATGTAGATTTGATTACCACCATATTTGTTTTGCTTTCACTGTGATTCAGATTTTCCTAGAATGCTATTTAGCCATGCAATCAAACCGTCCTGTACAGATAGGAATTGAACAAAATATCATAATATCGCTGCCTGTGAGAGTAAAACAGAAAAAAAAATTGAAACAATAAACTGAAAAAATAGACTAAATCTATAACAGGCATGATTGTTTTGCCAGTTTACCTGCTGGCTATATGGACAACGTCATGTTTGTTCTCGAAATCAAGAAAATTACCTAAATTACCTTAAAATTAGAAACCACCAACATCGATGCCTTATTATGTAGAATACATGTACTTCCATTATTCTTTGAAAAGTCAAGCAAAAAATTTAAACAACAATAGGACCATGATGGCCCCTGATTTCTAGATTGCTCACTAAAGATCAATCCTGGTGACCTACCATGACATCATGGACATTGGTGGATTATCAACAATTAACCAGTTCACTCATTAAATACTCACCTCTAACATCAAAGACAATGGTCGACTATCAACAATTAACCAGTCAAGCTCATTGTTAGATCTGTCCAGCAGAAAATCATAGTCCTCTAGAAACATGGCTGATCTGAAACATATTAACACATTATTCATACACAATGTTTACGACTGAAACAATATCAGGGGTATATATCTGTAAGAATGGAGTGTAGGACAAAAACCCTCCCTTAACAAGAGCGATCAGTAATCACATGTGTCGCCTCATGATGGCAAATTTCATGTTGGGACAAAGTTTGTGACAGACGGACAGTGCACAACTAGACTTGGTACTGATCATTCCTGTAAAGTTTGGATAAAATTGCACCAGTAGTTTATGAGGAGTAGTCCGGACAAGCTTTTGTGTATCTGGCAACACACAGAAAATACACCTTTTTATCAAAGGGCCATAACTCGGCCAAAAATCATTCAACCGGAAAACCCGTGCAATATGCGCAAGGACTTGAGCTACAGATCAATCCTGTAAAGTTTCATTGAAATTGCTTTAGTGGTATAAGAGAAGTAGTCCAGACAAACTTTAAAAATAACAAGAGCTGTCGGTAGGACAGCACGCTCGACTATTCTAAGTGCTTGATAGTAAAAGAGCCTTTATAATGTTAAATTTTTTAAGTTCACAAAAGAGCTAATTTTTTTCATAAATTCATGTTATAGGCCTTAGAGAGAGTCTAATTATACAGTATTGGCTTGACTATTCGGAAGGTAATGTCACAAGGGTGTTTAATTGAGTAAAATAATACTAATTACCTATGAATACATAAATTTGACAGAAAAGGTACAAAGGCTTGTAATTAAGATGTTTTATCAAGTTAATCACTGCTTTATTATTAAGAATGCATAAAATTGTCCCCAAAAAGGTACAAACCCTTCAGTAGTTATTGAGATAAAAGCTTACAAGCAAAACTTTACCATGAATTTTTAAGTTGAAAAAGGGGAGAAAAATCAGCCTAAATGCAAGATAGAATTATGGATCATTGTCAGTGACCTACAATTATGACCCTAAATGCATATGTGAAGTTTTAAATAAATATCTTTAATAGTTATTGAGATATGTAAAACTATCATGTTAACATTAACCAAGAGACTAAGTAGAAAAGGGGATATGAATCAGCCTTAATGCAAGATAGAGTTATGGAACTTGGTCAGTGACATACAATTATGACCCTCCAATTATGACCCTAAGTGCATGTGTAAAGTTTCAAGTAAATATCTTTGAAGACCTTTAACCTTTAACCAAAATTTCTAAGTTTCAAAGGGGCAAATAATTCTGCAAATATTGCAGGCAGAGTTATGCAATTTTGCAAACTGATAAACATTGTTACTATAAAAGAGTATTTTAAATTTCAATTGAATATCTCAAGCAATAATTAAGATATTTGACTTTACAAAAAAAACTTTAACCAAAATTTCTAAGTTCCAAAGGGGTATAATTCTGTCAATATTGTAGGCAGAGTTATCCAACTTGTCAATCTGATGTACCTTGTTACTATAAATAAGTATTGTAAGTTTCAATTGAATATCTCAAGCAGTAATTGAGATATTTGACTTTACAAAAAACTTTAACCAACGCAGACGCCGACGCGGACGCTGACGCCGGGGCGACTAGAATAGCTCTCATATTCTTCGAATAGTCGAGCTAAAAGTTATTAAAGGGCCATAACTCTGCCAAAAATCATTGAACCAGAAAATGCTGACAATATGCACAACTAGACTTGGTACTGATCATTCCTGTAAAGTTTGGATGAAATTGCACCAGTAGTTTATGAGGAGTAGTCCGGACAAGTTTTGTGATGGACAGACGGACGGACGGACAGACAGATGGACTGACAGACAACGGAGAAATGATCCCTCTATGTCGCCACTACTCCGTAGAGGCGACACAAAAATGACAGCGCAAACAAAAGTCCTCCTGTGAAAATAAAGATCCTTGCAAAGTGTGAAATGATGATTTACAAATTAACCAGGCAATCATGTGCATGGGATTGGACACCTATGTCGCTTACATCACTCAACCTCTTATGATATTAAATTACCTTAAATTGTGCATGAACTGAAACATTGTAGAATATATTGTTGTTAATTTAATTTTAATTAATTTGTTTATTGGTTATTCCAAGTGACCTCCCTTTCAGTCCTATTTATAGTTACGAATTCTATGAATTTAAATAGAAATCGAAAGTAGGATGCGGACGGTGTTGATATTGTGTAAAAAAGCTTTGAAGATCATTGGAAATCATCCGAGTAACCGAGTTATTGATTGGAAAAATGAACAAGTACTTGAGTATTAGTTTTGGTATTGGTTACCATCCCTAAAATTCACTATATTTAAATATCATACTGACAAGTTAAACAAGAGGGCCATGATGGCCCTGAGGTCGCTCACCTGTATATAGCCCCCCCCCCCCCCCCCCCCCCCCCCCCCCCCCGGCCCAATTTTTACCCAAGGACTTTTATTTGTTTATTTGAACAGACTTGGTAGACACCCATAAGAAGATGTTTCATGCAAAACATCTAAGTTCTAGCTCATTGGGTTTTTTAAAAGAAGATTTTTTTAAGTTTTTACTATACACATAGAGTAAAAAACAATGACACCCCTCGGGCAGGGCCAGTTTTGACCCCTGGGCTTTTATTTGAACAAACTTTGTAGATATTTACTTAAAGATGTTTCATGCTTAATATCTAAACTCTAGTTATTTGGGTTTTTTCAAAGAAGATTTTTAAGTTTTTGCTATGTATATAAGGAAAATCAATGACCCCGGGGCGGGGCCAGTTTTGACCCCAGGGCTTTTATTTGAACATACTTGGTAGACACCCATTAGAACATGTCTCATGCTAAATATCTTAGCTCTAGCTCTTTGGGTTCTTTAAAAGAAGATTTTATAAGTTTTTACTATATGCATATAAGGAAAATCAATGACCCCTGGGGAGGGGCCAATTTGGACCCCAGGGGTTTTATTTGAACAAACTTGGTAGACATTCACTAGAAGATGTTTCATGCCAAATATATAAGCTTTAGCTCTTACAGTTCTTTAAAAGAAGATTTTTTTAAGTTTTTACTATATGCATATAGGGAAAATCAATGACCCCCTGGGGCGGGGCCAATTTTGACCCCAGGGCTTTTATTTGAACAAACTTGGTAGACATTTACTAGAAGATGTTTTATGCCAAATATCTAAGCTCTAGCTCTTACAGTTCTTTAAAAGAAGATTTTTTAAGTTTAAACTATATGCATATAGGAAAATCAATTACCCCCCAGGGCGGGGCCAATTTTGACCCCAGGGCTTTTATTTGAACAAACTTGGTAGACATTCACTAGAAGATGTTTCATGCCAAATATCTAAGCTCTAGCTCTTTGGGTTCTTTAAAAGAAGATTTTTTAAGTTTTTACTTTATGCATATAGGGAAAATCAATGACCCCCTGGGGCGGGGCCAATTTTGACCCCAGGGCTTTTATTTGAACAAACTTGGTAGACATTCACTAGAAGATGTTTCATGCCAAATATCTAAGCTCTAGCTCTTACAGTTCTTTAAAGGAAGATTTTTTAAGTGTTTACTATATGCATATAGGGAAAAATCAATGACCCCCCAGGGGGGCCAATTTTGACCCCAGGGCTTTTATTTGAACAAACTTGGTAGACACTCACTAGAAGATGTTCCATGCCAAAAATCTTAGCTCTAGCTCTTACAGTTCTTTAAAAGAAGATCTTTTAAGTTTTTACTATATGCATATAGGGAAAATCAATGACCCCCCGGGGGCGGGGCCAATTTTGACCCCAGGGCTTTTATTTGAACAAACTTGGTAGACACTCATTAGAAGATGTTTCATGCCAAATATCTAAGCTCTAGCTCTTAGGGTTGTTTAAAAGAAGATATTTAAAGATTTTTCTTTCGGTTGCCATGGCAACCAGAGTTCTGCATGGAATTAAATTCTTTGAACAATTTTTAAAGGTGACCACCAAAGGAACATTCCTGTGAAGTTTGGATGAAATTGGCTCAGTGGTTTATGAGGAGATGTCATTTAAAGCAAAAGTTTACGGACGGACGACGGACGACGGACGGACGACGGACGGACGGACGGACGGACGCCGGACGAAAAGCGATCACAAAAGCTCACCCTGTCACTTTGTGACAGGTGAGCTAAAAATATAAGTCAAAGTCATATTTTGTTGGCCATATACATAAATGTTGATATTCATTCAATAAACAAAATAAAATCACTGTAGTCAACTTTCAACAATTAATTATTTATAACTTTAGACATTGGATATTCTAATTCTATTGAAATAGAACAGTATTTATACACTAACATTTTTGGACATGATGTAAGAGAAAGCAGACAAGTTTGATTCAGAAAAACTTCTTGAAAATTAATATTGGATACTAGTACATCTATATTCAAATATCTAAAACCAATATTCCAACATACAAATCCATATTTGTTCCCAACTTATTTTAAAACGATGTACCTTTTTGCTTCCAAATTTTCCCTTCCAAAATGCCTTAACTAATATCTTTGTACCCTACAACTACATCTCCCATCAACCTTATCTCCCTCCCATGATTCCTTCTCTCTTGGACTGATAAAAACTAAACACTAAACATACCTGAATCCTGTACTAGACTCCGTATCAGTTTGACCTGAAGCTGAACTTTCTAGGTCATATGGAAATCCCATATCCTCTGTGTATAACCTTGGGGGCAAAAGGTCAAGGTTACTGGTGCCATAACTGTGTTGCCGTAGCAACTGACAATGTTCACATTCACACTCAAACTCATCATCTGCCTCTATGCTATCATCTGATGACTTTGACCTTGACCCAGATTCATCTGACCTTGATGACCTTTGCATGAAATTTGGAAGTACAGAACTGTCAGTCTAAAGAGAAAATAAAAGAATATTTTAATTAAAGATCCTGTATGTTGTGATCAAAGTGGTTTACCACACTCAGTGAAATTATATATTATTATGCAAAACATTATTATGCAAATAAAACAATTTTCAAACATTGAATAATATGTAAAATATGTACCGCAAATATGTGTGCATATTATACGTAATCATTAAAAAATATATGCATTCATTTCTTATTGTAAAATTTGACATAAACTTTATAGAAAATAAATTTTTAATTACCTCCCTTTATTTACATGAAACATTTAATTCTGTAATATCTTTATAAATAATGCTTTATGGAACCTACAATATTGATAAATCTTAACTTGAGCATCATATTTATGATTTAAACCATAAGAAAATTGTGTTACAGTATCTTTAATTGATTACTGCAAAATCATTATCAATTGTGGAGCACTAATTTTCATGGTTTTCATGGATATGTCAATCCATGAAGAGCCAATGAAATTTCATTTTGTCTGCTGTAAAATTATTTTGCATCACATTACTTATATTTTACCTTTTTGAGAAACAAACAGGCCACATATTTAAGAACCCTGGCATGAAAATGTTCTTTGTGACAAAACCATGAAATTTCATCCCAAAGAAATAGTGAATTCACAGTATATTATATTTTTTCCAACATTTTACAACTAATTCTTTCCCATGTTAGTTTTAAAGACCCCCTTAAGCTTAGAAATGTAAATATATTTTTTTTTCTCAAATTAATTAAAATGTCCTATAACGACTATTAAAATGATTCTCATGTGCCATAAGGCTGTGCAATCTTACGTTTTTTCAATTATGTACAAATGTACATTGTAGTATTATGTATTGAAATCAAGATATCCCTTTGTTTACATTTTGCTACCTTTATCACAAACTATTTCATATTCAACGTTATTTTCTCCATGTTATTAGAGTCTCACACGTCCTAATCTATTATTACAACTTTATAAAACACTCAAACCCACAGCAGAGAGGGGCAAGTGGTTTGAAGTCAATGACATTAACCACTTGGCCGCAGATCTCCCCTTAACAGCTATAATTCATGTACTGATAATTCATGTACATGGATTTATGGCGATATGAGTAATAATTATTATAAGTAAGTATATTTAGTGCAGTGTAGTTAGAATTGATTAAATGGGTTTTACCTCACACTGACACAGTATAGGTCATTTAGCGACGTTCCAGCTTTACTGGTGGAGGAAGACCTCAGGTGCCCTTCCGTGCATTATTTCAGGCACGAACGGGCACCTGAGTAGAACCACTGACGTTCCATAATCTAGCTGGATAGCTTCCTCACATGAAATAATCCAAAGTCCCTGACGGGTAGTTAGAAAGGATGGACAAACTGCATATTACTACAGTGGAACCTCTAATCCGAACTCATCCGGACCAGAAGAAAAGTTCGGATTAGAAAGGTTTCCAGATTAGAAAGGTTTCCGAATTAGAAGGTTTTTTTACATGTTTTTTCATGTTACATGTATTTGCAAAATAGTTTAAAGAAAGAAAACGGGAATGCATTTGAAATTGCAATTTAGATATTTTATTTTTGCAGTCTCTTATTGTTCATTTTATTACATGTGAATGCAAAAATAAAGAAATAAAGATAAACAAGCAATTATCATAGTATTGCAAGCAATACATAAGTCCCCTACCGGTAAGAGCCCAAGCAACATTCTGAAGGGCCATTCACTAAGGTTCCTATTTTAAGTAAATTTGTTGAAAAAGTTCTTTAAAAGTGATCACAGGAAACAGTTTTTATGTACAGACAGACAGACTGAAGGACACTCTAAAGTTATTTTTTAAACATCCCTGTTATCAAAATATAACATTTTTAAAATCCTATCATGATTGAAGAAGTTGGAGTAAAAATTACCAATTTCTCAAAAAAAAGTCTAAGTTCAAAAGTGGCATAATTCTGGAAATAGTCTTGCTAGAGTATTAAACACTCACAAATGTTGAGTGACAATAAGAAACATTTATATGAAGTTTGAAGTAGATACATTCAGAAAAAGAAGTTATTAAAAAAAACAATGTTTTTTTTTCATGAAAATTTTAAGTTCAAGGGAGGTAATTCTGATAAATTTTGTGCTAGAGTTGTAAACCTTGTCACATATGATGTGGTTGATGACAAGCAACTTATATTTAAAGTTTGAAGAAAATACCTTAAGAAATAAAGAACTTATAGTGAAAAAACTTAAAAACTAGAATCAGAAATCTTGAAATTCAGTCTATTTGTTGCCATAGCAACCAGAATTTTCAACATAGGAAGATAAGGAAAGGATGTGCATAATTTCCATACTGCCATCTACCCATATGTCAAGTTTCATAAACATATTTTCAGTAATTTTTGTGTTATCACTGGATCCAGGTTATGTGTAAAATTTGCCATATTTTCAGTGTATTTGTTGCCATAGCAACCAGAATTTTCAACATAGGAAGAAAAGAAAAAGACGTGCATTATCTCCATACTGCCATCTATTCATATATCAAGTTTCATAAAAATATTTTCAGTACTTTTTGCGTTATAATGGGATCCAGATTATGTGTAAAATTTGCCATATTTTCAGTCTATTTGTTGCCATAGCAACCAGAATTTTCAACATAGGAAGAAAAGAAAAAGACGTGCATAATCTCCATACTGCCAGCTATCCATATATCAAGTTTCATTAAAATATTTTCAGTACTTTTTGCGTTATCGCGGGATCCAGTTTTGTGGACGGACGGACTGACGGACGGACAGACGGACGGACGTACCAAAATTTGATGTTTATGAGGCAAATGAGCTCATAAACACCACCTGGACCAATGTCCATAAGCAAAATAAGCTCATAAAAACAAAAAAAAACTCTTAATTTTAAATTTTATGAGTTTATGTTCTTTATTTAACTACGGAATGAAGCTCATAATAATCAAATGTTGGCTCGGACGGACGGACGGACGGACAGACGGACGGAGGGTAAACCTAAAGTCCCCTCCGGTAAACCGGTAGGGGACTAATAAATAAATAAGCAAAAATATTATGCCCTAAAGGGTAAGTTAACCAACGATGTTAAACAGGAGGCCGAGACATGATTAAATATTCGTACCAGCATTTGTCAATTGTTGTTTAGTGTTTACTCTTATCCGATTTAGCGACTATCCGAATTTACTGACAATTTCCATTAATTTTCATTGCTTAATCACGTATCATTGAATGCATTACAAAGGATTAAAAATATCAACCAATCTGTCATTAAATTCTACCCTTCGGAAATTCCATGATTCACTTATATTTTGTCACACGAAATGTCTGGAATTTGAAATTTGCTTACTTTTCAACACATGGAAATATCTACTTATACAGTATGATCTACTTGAAAATTTCAGGGAGATTAAGTAAAATAAAGAATTTTATAGCTTACACTTGTGTCAGTATCATCGTCGCCAAGGAGACGGTTAAAGCTGTCATTTAGTGTCCTCATACCCGGGTAATCTGGGTCATCTTCAAAACTCGTCTCCGAGGAACCAACTATATTCCCGTAAAAATCTTTATCTTCAACCCGATTGGTCCTGGCTTCCCTTGTTCCTGAACTACAGTTCAGCATTCCAATACAGTTTCTACTAAGTCTTTCTGAATTATCACCGGCACTGGTCCCTTCATGGCAATTCAGAGGTATTCTTACATCAGGGCTAAATCCACTTGTATCACATATATCAGGCATAACACCACTATAATTGTCTGTAACATCTCTTTGCCTAGCGCTCCTCTCCTTTCCAATGTTATCAAATTTAGTTTCACCGTCTTCATCTATAAATGGAATGTCGATCTCTCTAACTAAATCCATCAAGCCAGAACATAGATCTATTTTTGAATCGGATTTCACAATAAACGGATCTTCCAAGGTGTTCTCAAAATCTTCTACCATATCATACGACTCATATCTTTTATCAATACCACTTTTATCACTTTCCTCAAGCCTTCTTTTCCAATTACTTTTGTCTTTATTAAATTTCTTAAGGTTCTTTTCATCTCTTTGGGTTTGTTTTCGTTTTTCTACCAAACTATTTTTAGATGACTGTAAATGTTTGTCTCCAGTTATTGAATAACCTAATTCAGTATTTTTTTCCCTCGATGCTTTCACCTTTGTATTGTTTAGAGTGACCTCCCCTGTATTGTTTAGAGTGACCTCCACTGAACTATTGGAATTAGTGGTATCATGACTTGTCTGCCCTTGGTCAGCAGACGTACTTTGAAGCCTGTTTCTAAAACTCTCGGGAAGGTATGGGATAGCATGATGTAGAGTTAACAAAGCCTCGTATGTCGAGTCTCTTATTTCTTGACTACCTCTTGAACCTGAATACGTCAAAATAAAATTGATGAGTTACAATAAAAGGATATTGAATGAGTGTACAAATGTAAGTTCAATACTGAATTTATTGCATGAGTTGAATAAAATTATATTATACGAGCCTATGGCAAGCATAATATTTTGTCATTGTCAATAAATTTAGTAATGAACTTATTAGATTTTAATATTCTATTTATCACATACCCAAAATAGAGACAGTGAAATAAGAGTCATTTTTCATTGAAGCGCCTATAGTATAACGCTAACGTTTAGCGCGTCTTTACACTATGTTTGCATAGCGCTAATGTCATGTCACTTCAAAATATATGCACGGCCTTGCAATACTATTTTTACAGAGTTGCAAAATATGCACGCGTATGAGATAAAATATCATTATCAATTTCATAAGTGAGTCTGACAATGTTAATACAAAATTCAAAATGAAGAAATATAAATTTTGCATATGTCTCCCTTTAAAATTTTATACATATCAATTACAATTTGTTGTTATAAATTACTAAATTTACATTTTTTAGTTTCAGTAAGATTGTCTTATTTCTAAAAAATTAAATTGTTTAAACCTACGATCTCCTCAATAATTATACTGTTAACAGAAAATACTAAAAATATAAAAACTGATAAAAAAACAAACAAAAAAAACATGATGCAGTAATAGATTTTAGTAAATAAAGGGAGGCAACATACATTGTAATCTCCCTTTGTAAGATATATAAACTTATACATCAAGGATTTTGAATGAGTCAGTGTGGCCTTTGATCTTAGGCAGCCCAAAACTACTCTGCATATCGTCAAAGTAATATTAAGATTTCCTCCAAATATTTTAAATTTCCTACAATCAGTTTAAAAGGTACAGAACTGTCACAAAACTTTGAATGTGACCTTAACCCAAGGAAACCCAAACCTGTGCTCTACACATTGTCTCCATTATGGTTAACATTTCTGCCAAGTAATTTCAATTTCCTTCAATCGGGCAAATCAAAACATACAGACTGGACAAAAAAAACCCGCTAACAGATGGCAGGGCAGACTGACAAACAGGAGCATAACATTATATGCCGAAATTGTTCGGTTTTCTGGCACGTAAATATATCCAATACCTTTATTGGTGTTCTGGAAATTGCTTTAATCACCAGATTCTACAGTGTAAAATAATTATTTGAATTTACAGAAGTTTTTAATAAAAATACCAAATACCTGTATCGGTGCTTTTGGAATTACTTTGACCACTGGATGAACGTGGTTTCCGTGATTTGGCTCTTCTTACTATTTCACCATACTCTGGATCTAGGAGAAGAATATTCAAGTACAGTTTAACAAGTAATTCAAGGCCTGTAAAGACACAGTATGCGTCGAAAAAAGGAAAAAATTCCATTTCTTTCGAAGGGGCAAACCTGTGCAAACATGAATTTATTTTATAACATTTTAATAGTGGTTTTAGAGCATGTTAGATACATACAGAATACTCTATGAGTGTAGGTTTAATACTAAATTAATTAAACATGTTGAATTAAATCATATTATGCAAGCCTCAAGCGGGCATAATATTGTTTTATTCAACCAATTCAGTAAATTTAGTATTGAATCTACACGAACATAATATTCTATTTATCACATATCCAAATGAACAGTAAACTGTATAAAAAAAGAGTCATTTTTCATTGATGCTCCTAAAGTGTAATGCAGGCTGTCCAACACCTTCTGACAAAAAATTATGACAAATTTTAGGGCTATTTCTAAGAAATAGTCTTTTGGTCTTTGGTCAAAGCTCATCTGGAGCTCTGACTGAATTAGCTCTGACTGAAAGATGATGAATGTCACATAGAAATTTTCCCTTGTCCCTTGGATAAACCAGCAACCCTAGATTACAAACCCCACACTCTTCCTACTGTGGTAAGCCAGTTCTACAAAATGTAGTTAACTAAATACAGTGGAACCTGTCTAATCCGAACTCATCCAGACCAGAAGAAAAGTTCGGATTAGAAAGGTTTCCGGATTAGAAGATTTTTTTTTTTACATGTGTGAGGTGAGCCAGTTCTAGTTAACTAAATATTTATTTATATCTTGAAAATTCTGCAAAATCACTGTTACTAATTATACATTTTTTTTGTTTATGTTAACTTTCTACATACCAATGTACAAGTCTTAATACCATATTGAACCAATTTACATTAAGTACAATGTAAAAAGCTGGCAAATCAAAAAATGGATTGGCAGTAATTTAAGACTTGAACTACTGACCCTTACCTAAAACATATTCAAATTCTTCCTCCCCCTCCGATGATGATGGTATTTCATTATCAAGAATTCCGATCCATTTCTCTTTGTCTAGCCCTGTTTTCTTCTTCGATTGGTCTGATTTTAAACAGTCATTCTTTGTAGACTCCTTATTTGACTTTTGCTGTTTCAAATGTCTATGTGATTTTGATTTATGCTTACATTCAGGTGCTTTTTTAGCCTTTGCTCCTTTCTGACACTTACAATTAGTTGGATTTTGTGTCTGTGTGCCTCGACACTTTTGATTCGTCCAAATATTATTATCTGAACTCTGATTTGTTAAAGTGTTATCAGCCGACCAATCAGAAGTCGACTTACAAGTGTCAGTTGAACTCTCAGGCCAAGCATCACTTGATGATGCATCAAAACTTTTTGAACTTTTCATCCCACCTTGACTTACTCTGTTACTGCCATTTTCCTTTCCAAATCCAAAATATCTCAGAAATGACTTTGACCTTGGCATAACAGATTCATCTTTAAAACTTTCAGACCCTTGAAGGTTATTTCTCTTTTTAACCAACTGAATATTTTCAGATTTTCTTTTCACGCCATTTTCTTGTTTTTTTACACGCTCAAAGCTATTCTTAGTCCTCTCCTCTTGTCTAAATCCAAGTTTTTCCGCGATATATTTTCTAAGCGCAAGACCTGATTTCTTCCATCGTTCCCTTGCAGACAAATACTCTTGTTCTTTCTCTTTAGAGAGTTTACCAAACTCCTGAAACCTTATACCATCAAACTTTTCTCCACTGCAATCACTTAATGGAAACTTTAATCCATTACATGAGTTTACATTTGTTACGTTATTATAATTAATGCAAGCACTATTCAATTCTGTATCAGTATCTTCAAACTTTGGAGATTTCGTCTGTATTTGCTCAACTCCTTCAAGAAAATAAATCTCGTCTACACTGTTTTTTGCTTTATAATCAGTCATATTTAAGTTATCGCTAAAACATCTTGCTGTTGCTACACCAGGTTTTTCCACTGCATTATGATTTTTAACACTCTGCAATGTAAATGCGGAACTGGATTTGTCTACCCTTCCTTTCTTAGCTTTACCGGCATTTCCGTCCCGGCCTCTTGTCTTTGGTTTGGCCCCACCATAACCTTCAGCCATTGTTAATCTAAAAAACAATTTTAAAAATAAAATGAACTAGAAATGTGTCCATAGGACACGGATGCCCCCACACGCCACTGTTCTGTCAATCTTATGACTCTAGGTCAAATATTTTTTGGACTACATGTGCCACAAGTTGAAAACTAAAAATCAACAAAGGGCAATAATTCTGTAAAATTTGGTCGCAGCAAAAATTCCTTCCTTTACTACCATCTACACATTAAGGTTGTTAATCCCTGGAAGTTTAAGTAAAATCTGCCATCCGGTTTAAGAGGAGTTGCGTTCACAAAATTTCTACATTATTAGTATATATTGAAAAAATCACCATAGGGCCATAATTCTGTTAAATTTGGTTGCTGCAAAAATTCCTTCCTTTACTGCCATCTACACATTAAGGTTGTTCATCCCTGGAAGTATAAGCAAAATCTGCCATCCGGTTTAAGAGGAGTTACATTCACAAAATTTCTACAGAGTATATAGTGAAAAAATCAACAAAGGGCCATAATTGTGTAAAATTTGGTCGCAGCAAAAATTCCTTCCTTAACTACCATCTACACCTTAAGGTTGTTCATCCCTGTAAGTTTAATCAAAATCTGCCATCCGGTTTAAGAGGAGTTGCGTTCACAAAATTTCTACATAGTATATAGTGAAAAAATCAACAAAGGGCCATAATTCTGTTAAATTTGGTTGCAGCAAAAAATCCTTCCTTTACTATCATCTACACATTAAGGTTGTTAATCCCTGTAAGTTTAAGCAAAATCTGCCATCCGGTTTAAGAGGAGTTGCGTTCACAAAATTTCTACATAGTATATAGTGAAAAAATCAACAAAGAGCCATAATTCTGTTAAATTTGGTCGCAGCAAAAAATCCTTCCTTGACTGCCATCTACACATTAAGGTTGTTTATCTCTGTAAGTTTAATCAAAATCTGCCATCCGGTTTAAGAGGAGTTGCGTTCACAAAATTTCTAAATAGTATATAGTGAAAAAATCAACAAAGGGCCATAATTCTGTTAAATGTGGTCGCAGCGAAAATTCCTTCCTTTACTACCATCTACACATTAAGGTTGTTCATCCCTGTAAGTTTAAGCAAAATCTGCCATCCGGTTTAAGAGGAGTTGCGTTCACAAGATTTCGGGACGTACGGACGGACGGACTGACGGACGGACGGACAAGTGCAACGCTATATGCTCCCACATTGTGGGGGCATAAAAATTAGAAAAATTAAAACCAATGCACATCTTATAATGAGAAAAGAGCTGAACAATGTTTGGTCAACTAGAAATGTGTCCATAGGACACGGATGCCCCCACACGCCACTGTTCTGTCAATCTTATGACTCTAGGTCAAATATTTTTTGGACTACATGTGCCACAAGTTGAAAACTAAAAATCAACAAAGGGCCATAATTCTGTTAAATTTGTATATAATGAAAAAATCAAAAAAGGGCCATAATTCTGTTAAATTTGGTTGCAGCAAAAATTCCTTTCTTTACTACAATCTACACATAAAGGTTGTTCATCCCTGGAAGTTTAAGCAAAATCTGCCATCCGGTTTAAGAGGAGTTGCATTCACAAAATTTCTACATAGTATATAGTGAAAAATCAAACAAAGGGCCATAATTCTGTAAAATTTGGTCGAGCAAAAATTCCTTCCTTTACTGCCATCTACACCTGAAGGTTGTTCATCCCTGTAAGTTTAAGCAAATTGCCATCCGGTTTAAGAGGAGTTGCGTTCACAAAATTTCTACATAGTATATAGTGAAAAAATCAACAAAGGGCCATAATCTGTTAAATTTGTCGCAGCAAAATTCCTTCCTTTACTACCATCTACACATTAAGGTTGTTCATCCCTGGAAGTTTAAGCAAATCTGCCATCTGGTTTAAGAGGAGTTGCGTTCACAAAATTTCTACATAGTAATCTAGTGAAAAATCAACAAAGGGCCATAATTTGTTAAATTGGTCGCAGCGAAAATTGCTTCCTTTACTACCGATCTACACATTAAGGTTGTTCATCCTGTAAGTTTAAGCAAAATCTGCCATCTGGTTTAAGAGGAGTTGCGTTCACAAGATTTCGGGACGTACGGACAGACGGACGGACGGACGGACAAGTGCAACGCTATATGCTCCCACATTGTGGGGGCATAATAAAAATCGCAAGCAAATATTTCTTACACTTAATGTGAAATTAAATAAATTTCAGAGACAAGTTACATGTAAATGTTTATGAGTTGGCAAAACAAATAATCAAATATTCAAGCAATGTTTACTTTTTTATCTAGCATGAAAACAGGGCAGGGCACACATGTTAAAGGCCAGGGCACTAAAGATTGATGACCCATGCCTTCACATGAGCTAAATTATTTATTTATTTTTTAAAATCAAACATGTAAAAATTAACTAAGATAGAAGAAAAGTAAAAAGATTCAAGATTGCATGTTATATGTGGTAATTCTTATATGTGATTATCATAAATGGCTGATTTTGCTGCATACATGTATATCACTATATTTCTTGAGTTACTATATGAATAGTAACAAGCAGTGTTTTCTTTAGAGAGTTTTTCTGCTTTTTTGACGCAGTTCTTTTGCAATTAATGCGGTAATATTATTGCCATGCATTTTCAGTGACGCATATTTTTGCGAACGTCGTAGTATATATTTTTCCTATAAATAGCATGATTTTCATCAGCTGATCGGTCACATGATTTATCTTAAGACGCTTTAGTGATTATTACATGTTAAAAGCACTCAGATGCTTCAGATTGTGATGTCATTATCCTGGTAAATTCACAATGTCTGCTTCGAAAAAAAGCAGCGAAGATTGACTTCATTCTTCAATAAAGACAATGTTAACGTTGATGGGGCGACAGAATCTACCTTAAACAACTCTGGGCCTATACAAAATGAGGTTTCCCAACCAAATCAATCGGCAAATGCTGAAACAACTGAGTAATCCAAGCAAAATGATAATGCTCCGAAGCGAGTTTTTCGTACAGAGTGACTTGAAAGCAATTTTTAATTGCGTTATGACGGTAATAAAATGACTTGCACAGTTTGTATTACTGAAAATAAAGACCATCCATTCACATCGGGATGCACAAATTTTAGAGTTTCGACATTTAAAAGGCATGTTGCATCATATCAGCATAAGGCTGCACAGGACTCACAATACCTTGTACATTTTTGCCTATATTAAGTTTAAGTGAAGTTATTGTTTAATTTGAAAATATATTTTCATGACCCTTTTTATTTGTAAATATCCCTCGATTTTTTAACAAAAAGGTCAAATAAGACCCCCAAAATTTTTGACATAGAGAAAACACTAAACAGGATTTTTTTGTTTGATTTTTTTTTTTTGGGGGGGGGGGGACGCAACCTAAAATTTCTAAATTATTGTCCATAATAAATGTTTTCATCCTCAAATTTGATATCGATATAATTTATAAAGCTTGATATTAATTTTTGGTCTTTTTGTCTCTAGTTAGGGAGTAGTCCTTCATTGAAAGACATCGCATTTTCTTTTTTTACAGTTTGACGTTTATAGGAAAATGCCAAGCGGATTTGACCCATGTAAATTTGTTGGAAAAAATCTTTAAAAGTGATCTCAAAAAACAGTTTTTATGAACAGACAGACAGACAGACTGAAGGAGACTCTTAAGTTGTTTTTTTTTAAACATCACTGTTACCAAAATACAACATATTTTAGTACAAAATTCTTAAACTTTTCAAGAGGAGATAACTCTTGAAATAACAATGCTAGATTTATGAACATTGATGTGAGTTTTACTTTAAGTTTAAAGATACCATTTATAGTCACAAAGAAGATAAGTAAAAAAAATAACTTTTTTCAAATATAGCATTAACTATAGACTGATAATGTATAGTAAGTAACAAAGATGAAAATTAAAAACAAAAATATAATGTAGGTGTTGATAATGAATGTTTTGAATTTTGAACTTGAAGAAAATCCATGAAGAAATAACAAAGTTAAAGAATAAATAAGAAAAAATCAAAGTTTAAGAAGGAGATAATTCTGGAAATCTGGATCTAGATTTATAAACCTTGTCATATTATTATGATGTGGGATTTTAAAGTAAATCCTATAAGGAATGAAGAAGTTGGAGTAAACAATACCAATTTCTCGAAAAAAATCTAAGTTCAAGGGGGACATAATTCTAGAAATAGTCTTGCTAGAGTATTTAACATTCTCACAAATGTTGAGTGATAATTAGAAACATATCTATGAAGTTTGAAGTAGATACATTAAGAAATAAAGAAGTTATTAAAAAAGACAACATTTTTTTCATAAAAATTCTAAGTTCAAGGGAGGTAATTCTGATAATTTTTGTGCTAGAGTTGTAAACCATGTCAAAGATGATGTGGTTGATGACCAGAAAATTATATTTAAAGTTCGAAGTAAACATCTTAAGAAATAAAGAACTTATAGTACTTTTGCGTATCGAGGGATCCAGTTTTGTGGACGGACTGACAGATAGACAGACAGACGGACGGAGGGTAAACCTAAAGTCCCCTCCGGTTAAACCGGTAGAGGACTAAAAATAGCTTCAAATCTGCGGTTACATCTAAATATTTGGACTAGTTAGTGAGGGTATCACACTACCATTTGAAATAAAATTCCGCAACAACACATAGCACAGTTTTATTGGTTACATAAACTAAGATGTACTCATGCATTTAGAGTGTAAGTCACTGATAATGCCTAAATACTTCAGTGCTGTGTGTTAAGCCGCTTCCAGGTGGATTGAAACTATGGCTGCCCTGATAAAAATAAACTGAAATAGCAGCTTTAATGTATCTATGTTATAAAGGTTAGGGCTAAGTTAGTTAGATAAAACAGGTTGTATAGTACTATAATGTGATTTGATATGTCACAGGTAAAACAATTTTTTATGGCCCAGCATAGAAAAACTGATCACTCCAGGATATTTCTATTTCTACTTTCATATCACTAAAAGTCTATAATTATAAATCTATCTCTGTGAACTGCCAGCAGAAAGACCTGTTACATGATGAAACACATTATTGCAGTGAAATTGATAATGACAACAGTTTAGTGATGTTCCTTTTAGATTTAGTATCATGTAGTTAATTATAGCATTTGTGAATTATCGGGATACGGACAAAAGCCCTCCCCCTCCCCCCCCCCCCCCGAAGAAAGCCCCCTGTCTAAAAATGACAAGGTGGACAAAAGCCCCCCCATGAATTTTCACATAGGACAAAAGCCCCCCCATAAAAAAGTAAATATATACATTATCAATAAACATTAAAACAAATTCATTCATTTTCATTAATTCATTTACACCATATTACTGTATTTTTTTTTTGGGGGGGGGGGGAATCTTTGTCCTACCTTTACTTTTTATGGGGGGGGGCTTTTGTCCTATGTGGAAAATTCATGGGGGGGGCTTTTGTCCACCTTGTCATTTTTAGACGGGGGGGGGGGGTTCGTCCGGGGGGGGGGCTTTTGTCCTACCTCGAATTAATCATCATATCCGAAATGTTCTTTGTCCGAAAAGCACCCAAAATATTAAATGTCCTGCCTCTCTGTCATTTCTATAATCGAAACGATTGCCATTTTATGTATAAAGGTTTTATGGATAATTCTATATACAAATCACTTAAAACATTACCTTATTAATAACAACAAATATACAAAACGTCTATATTTAATATTTACGAATTTAAAACGGTGGCTGTTAGAACTACACACTGTAAAACTTTCATGTGAAATTGAGGTTTAATACCTCTAATATTATTAATCGTTTTGCGCGTATCGTAAGAAAATATTTTTTTTATTACAGCTGATAACCGAACTTATTACTTGAGATATTTTATATCAGCAGCTGATTTAGTTTAATATGAAAAAGGCAAAGCCTCAAAGCGAGGTCGATGTATTTTAAACGTGAAATAGTATTATATATAAGACTATCCAAGACACCCTAAGACACCCCAAGACTATCCCAAGACACCCTAAGACTACCCCAAGACACCCCAAGACTATCCCAAGACACCCTAAGACTACCCCAAGACTATCACAAGACACCCCAAGACTACCCCAAGACACCCCAAGACACCCTGCGTTGTTGTTTGTCCAATTCTTAAAGCCATTTGTTTTTCGACTCGGTTTGAAGACAAATTCTAACAGTCTTGGTTTAAGGTTATTACAGAAATACGTTTTTAGTGAATCGTTCTTTGTCAATTTTTTCCTCAAACTCTGAGGCCTTAGTTTCAAAATCCAAAATGGAGTCTGCATCTATCAAGCCCCCGCTACCAAACAAATCATTCATTAATATGTTTTTTTGTTTAATTTCAACGCCGATTTTGTTTTGAAGGTAATGTTTAACATTGTCTTTTAGATGCTTGGTACACAAATATCTATCAGCTGATGGAAACACTTCTTTAATTGCCTTAGTAAGGGCTTTTTCATCATCTGTACCGAATTCCATATTTTCTGAAATTCTCATTTCAATTGTTACTTATTATATGTACTTGTGAATCGCATAGTTACCTCCCGTGAACAATGTAAAATAAGATCGTAATTACATATCAGTTAAACATAGTGTCTTGGGGTAGTCTTTGGGTGTCTTGGGGTATTCTTTGGGTGTCTTGAGGTATTCTTGGGGTGTCTTGGGGTAGTTTTGGGGTAGTTTTGGGGTGTCTTGGGGTAGTCTTGGGGTGTCTTGGGGTAGTCTTGGGATTGTCTTGGGGTAGTCTTGAGGTGTCTTGGGGTAGTCTTGGGGTGTCTTGGGGTAGTCTTGGGGTGTCTTGGGGTAAATAGACCGACCGGTATGTATGTATGTATTCTAGGCTTAATGAGGGTCCATCCGCCCTTTCAGGCACTGAGAGTACGGACCCCGGACATGTCACTATTCATGTCCTTAAATGTTACTATCAACCAAAAGGTTACCTATAAATTTTGAATTCAGTAATTCACTGAATGATACTAAATATGTATGCGAGTCGATTTTTGTGATGATACAATTTTGATGCACGGGAGGCCAATGAGACCATTATATGCATCATGGAGAAAAATAAAAATGAGCTTGACTGATCGATAAGATTATGCAACTTGAAAAAATTGTGTCATTCCGTGCAACGCAAAGAATTGGAATCATGCTTACTAAAACTTGGAATAGTATCAATAAATAAAAAAATACTCTTGGATCTGCCGTTTGAAATAGCTGGTAAAGTTCGCACTGCGATATTCAAATTCATAAAAGATATACAATTTACAAATAAAATTTAATTTACTATGAATATAGTTAGATAAAGTATCTCATTAAAGATCGCCACTTTATAAAATGGGATTGAAATGCCGATGAATTATCTATGAGTGTGGAACTATAAAGTACGACAAGCTTTAACTTGCAACAGTATAGACACATATTTGGACAGGCACGCTAAGTTGGCACAACAGTGATTTAGCTAATGCTGCTCAGAACATATTAATTTATGTTCTGAGGGTAGAGGCTGAATTGCTCCATACTGGTATGTCACAAAAATTTTATTTGTAAAGACAGAAAGTGGTCCAATATGTAGATATGATGTTAATTATAAATACAATTACAAATTTAATGTACTCTAGTAATATATGTAAAACATCAAAAATTTACAAAAAAAAAAATAAATAAAAAAATAAGAGCTTAAATAGATATTTGAAGCTGTCAAAGTCAGCGACGAGTAATGACTATTACAATTCAAATAGGAATATTTTTTTGAATTCTATTTCCGTGATTTCATTCCAGCGAAGACAACTTTTGTGCATAAAGCTTGACTATTGATATTCATGACAAAACAGTACTTTTTATTGATCTCAATTATGTTATATGTAAATATGTTTATGGTGAAATAAATTGTTGCATAACTTGTAGTTGTTTTCATCATTCAATGATATAATTAATGACAAAGTATTTATGCTGGCATGATAAACAGTCCTAGAATACATTCATTATGATAAGTAATCGTCAGTTGCAAAATGGTTTTGTGATCTTATAATGAGCAGTCGTCATACCTTATCCTTATATGATGAACTTTTTGGCATTTCATTTAATATTGACAGTTTACATGTATGTCTTCAAAATTTGCATGAATAACAATCCGAATGTAGTAATGAAAAAATCTGAAATATTGACAAAATGATTAGTCCACCATATTAACCTTATATATGGATATACATACAACAGTAATGATAAATGGCGCAATGGCCAGATATTTTAATTTTGGTATTTAAAATAACAGCACATTTTAAGCAAAAAGAAAGGAAACCGTAAGTCTGAAACATTCTGTCTACAATTCTTAGCATAGCCTTCCCATCAGCGCTTTGATTGTAGAATATGACCAGGTACATTAAATAGTATATAGAACATGACGTGACCAAGTAAGTGTACAATTGTAAACTACACGACCATTTAAGTAAATATACAATTTGGTTACATCAAACTCAATCAATAATTCCCTCTTTTACTAAAAGATCAACCCCAACCAGTTTTAGTAAGTTTTTTTTACTTCCTGTAAAATTAACAGGTAAAGATTGAAGAATTTTCATTGGTCATTTTAAAATTAGAAACTGAAATCGGTGAATCGCATTGGTCATTCTAAAATAAAATGTAAATTACAGTTCTAACCATTCTAAAATAAAACGTAAAGGATAGTTCTTACTATTCTAAAATAAAGTTTAAGGATAGCTCTATAATAAAATGTAAGGGATAGTTTTGCCACTTGAATATATATATGATTTATTTGAAATATTTCTTCCAGAATTTATTGTCTCACTGTTTGATTTTGATCAGATCCATATTTAAGGGACACTATTGCCCTTAGAAGCAGTGGGTGTTGTTATATTTTTATTTTTTATCAGTGTTGTTATATTTTTCTGGTCCTTCGGGATCATTGATGCCAGCATTATTAAGTGTTGAGAATTGAGTACGGCTCAAGCCGGTGCTAGGGGGCGTGAGGGATGTTGCACTTATTCAGTATCCCTCATGTACAGACTCAAAGACTCAATCAAACCGAGTCTGCAATTCTTACGTAATTTTGTTCTGATTAATGCTTCCGAGGGATCACTTTGTTTCCAGATTTTTATACTTCACAACAGCAGGTGTCAAATGCTGTGTGGCAGCTGTAAAAAGTTGCCCGTACTTCACTTCAGTGTTGTTATATTTTTCTGGTCCTTCGGGATCATTGATGCCAGCACTATTAAGTGTTGAGAATTGAGTACCGCTCAAGCCGGTGCTAGGGGGCGTGAGGGATGTTGCACTTATTCAGTATCCCTCATGTACAGACTCAAAGACTCAATCAAACCGAGTCTGCAATTCTTACGTAATTTTGTTCTGATTAATGCTTCCGAGGGATCACTTTGTTTCCAGATTTTTATACTTCACAACAGTAGGTGTCAAGTGCTGTGTGGCAGCTGTAAAAAGTTGCCCGTACTTCACTTCAGTGTTGTTATATTTTTCTGGTCCTTCGGGATCATTGATGTCAGCATTATTAAGTGTTGAGAATTGAGTACCGCTCAAGCCGGTGCTAAGGGGCGTGAGGGAAGTTGCACTTATTCAGTATTCCTCATGTACAGACTCAAAGACTCAATCAAACCAAGTCTGCAATTATACTATGTGGACCTGTGACGAAGTTTGTAGAGCACTCTCATTTCTTTTAGACAACATTTATGTCAGGTTTGGTAATACCCTATTTAAACAGAACATAGGAATTCCTATGGGTACTAATTTTGCACCCCTGGTCGCCGATTTGTTTTTGTACTGCTATGAAAGAGACTTTATGTTGAGTCTCTCTGAAGATAAACAACAAGATGTTATAGTCGCATTTAATAATACTTCCAGATACCTTGATGATATTTTTAATTTAGATAATCCTTATTTTGATCAAATGGTGTCTGACATTTATCCGCATGAACTACAACTTAATAAAACGAACTCTTCAAATTTTAGTACATCATTTTTGGATCTTCATATTACTATCAACAACAATTCTATTCACACGAAAATCTATGATAAAAGAGATGACTTTGACTTTTGTATAGTTAATTATCCACATTTAGATGGAGACGTACCCCATGCAACATCTTACGGGGTTTATGTTTCCCAGTTAATTAGATTCGCTAGAGCTTGTAGCAACGTAAAGGATTTCAACGAGCGGAATATTTTTATTACCAGCAAGCTTCTAAAACAGGGCTACCGCTATCATAAATTACGGAAATATTTTACTAAATTTTACAATCGTAACTTTGATTTAATTTTAAAATTCAATAGTGATTTAAAAACTCTTCTGCGACAAGGGATTAGCCAGCCTGGTTTTTATGGCGATGTGATTTACAAACTTCGTAAGATTTTGGGTCATGGTAATTTTTCTGCTGTTTTTACTAAAATCATTAAACGTTTTATTAAAAGAGGTTATGACCCTACTATTTTAAGACATACTGCATGTTTAGTGTTCAACCCTTTTACAGTTGGACACTACGCTTTCCTCTTTTGATTGCATCTGACGGACCAAGTGGGAGACTCTATGATGGATAGTTCGTAAAGCCCTTTGGGACTGAATTGTCTTAATGTTCGTCTTCTGCCTTGCTTCGTCGGGCCCTTGTAGGTGATTTTCTTGTTGCTCTGTCTTCCTTTAGGACATTGAGTACTTTTGTTATGGTCATTGGGTTGGTTTACTTTTATATGTTTCTACATGATCATTTTAGTGTTTTACTTATTT